CCATAAAGGAAAGTACCGGTGTCATAAAAACTATGTGCAAACTAGCCCTGAACACTTATTTTAACATATACTGCATGTCTCCAACCCACAATTTTACCCATGTAAACTACTCAGTCCATGGTTAAGGATTGCCTCCACTTTTGTTTGCCATGATATTGGGGATCTTGAATCTCAGTACACATTTAATCGATTAACATAGCATGTTTCAGAACCTTGTGCTTTTCCACTTGTTTCTTTATCTAGATTCATACCAGTGCAACAAGGAATCACCAGTGGTATATTTGGTAAAATAGTTTGTATCTTCTTTCCTATTTGCCCTTCTCATATCAGTGATATATCTCCAATGGAGTACATCTTCTCAGTTTTAATCGTCTTTTTTCTCATGGCCTTTTCACTTCGTTTTTATTCTTTTGCGTGTATCACGGCTCCTATTCTTGATCTGCAGTAGGCTTTATTGACTATCCACATAACATCTTAAATGGGTCATTACTGCTCTCTACAGATGGAATCCATGACTTACTCCTATTCCTAATTCTGTAAATTCTCTGCCTTTAATATATTAATTCTTTGAATTTTCTCTTAAACGAATTGTTATTAGTTTTGGACCAAGTTTCTCCATTCTTGTAGATGTTTATGGTTGAGATGTGCTTTTTTCTTGACCTTTAATTGCAGAGCATGAGCCAAGATGACAGAAGGAAAGTGGTACCCCGAGTATGTATAATTGGGGGAAAGGCTGCTCCTGGTTATGAAATGGCGAAGAAGATAATCAAACTATGCCATGCAGTTGGGGAAGTGATCAATAGTGACCCTGACATTGGTGATCTTCTGAAACTGGTATGAGAATGTCTTGTAACATCTTAGGTTTACAGAGAAATGTCGGATACTTTATGAATCTTACTTATTTATTTATTTATATGTGAATTCCGTTCCAATTATTATGAATTGTCTAATGGAGAAAATGGATTTTTGCTCCTCTGTAGGTATTTATTCCTGATTACAATGTCTCTGTTGCAGAGCTCATAATACCAGGAAGCGATCTTTCACAGCACATCAGGTTCTAGCCGCTTCATTTTGTTTTTATCCTTTTGTGAGTTTAACGTTTGCTGTTGTTCATTTTGCTTTATAAAATTGGATTACCTAGATTGGCAAATGTAAATATCTCAAATGGTCAATTATATGTTTAAGGTGTGAGTGCTACTGTACCCACAGAGGCAAAGCCTTTACGTCTTCATGTTAGTAACTCTAGAGAAAGAACCAAAAAGAGGGTAAAGAAACTGCTATGAGCTATTAGTTTTGTGTTCTTATAAAATAAGTAAAAAAATGATAGTGGGGTAGCTCTGATGCATCTTCTGGAAAAATGAGTTTGGGAGCTACTTCTTTATTTCTATAATTATGTATGTATTATTGGATTGCAGTACAGCAGGTCATGAAGCATCTGGGACTGGAAGCATGAAATTCCTGATGAATGGTTGTCTACTTCTAGCTACAGCTGATGGCTCTACAATTGAAATCATTGAAGAAGTAGGAGAGGAAAATATGGTGAGAATAAAACACTTGATTGTAGTCTCATCAGAACTTCAAATTCTTTGTTTTCATCCATATGTTGATGTTTTGCTGATAGTATTCTGGGATTACATGCATCAAGGGAACAAATGAAATACCATGGCCAAGATTAGTAGTCTAGAATAGTTTTAACCAACTGCATTTTCATGTTCTCACACTGCACAGAAGTCCCGTTAGTATTAGTCTATCCTTCTTGATGTCAGAAAGAGAATTTGTCATCACTCGAGAAAGCATAGTAATATAATCAGGGTATTACGCATTCAATCCTATGTAATTTCTCACTGTCAATCTAGCCAACTCTCGCCATTTTCGACTCACTCATGCTTAGATTAGCAATTAGAACTTGCTGATTTCCCCTGCTGAAAAAAGTCATCCCTATACTTTTCAATTGCATGTGTCTCTTTTATTGGTATACGTCTGATTAATGGCTGTTCTTCATTTTCTTTAGTTTCTATTTGGTGCCAAAATAAAGGAAGTTGCTTCGTTGCGGGAAAAGGGTCAAGCTTGTAAAGTTCCACTCCAGTTTGCTCGCGTTGTCAGGTGTGTTCTCAATATGCATATTTTTTGCTACGTCGTCTATCGGATCTCTTTTCTTGAGTAATTCTTTTGCAAAACCCAACATCTGGAAAAGGAAATCTACGAGAAAAGTATCATACGGTCCACAAACAATTGGTTTTCTCGTCTATCGGCTATTCAACAAAGACCTATGTTGCTTATTCTTTTGTACATGTTTAGGATGGTTCGTGATGGCTACTTTGGCTTTGAGGACTATTTCAAATCTCTATGCGACTCTTTGGAGGGGGCTGGTGATTTCTATCTCCTTGGAAACGATTTTCCAAGTTACCTACAAGCTCAGGTTTCCTTCCTGTTCTCTATAGTTTTTCAAACTACAGTTTTCGTAGAATATATTGCTTTGAAGATTAAACCACACAAATTAACTATTGTTGCAGGCTGAAGCTGATATAGCATTTGTAGATCAAACGAGGTGGACAAAAATGAGCATTTTAAGTAC